AAAAGTTTATCGGCAAAGTCCTCTGATATCGAAGAAATGTAATCACCAGCAATATTGAACAAAGTTATCAGTCTTTTTCACCGTTAATTTCATGGCTAAATCATTGCGAATGGCACCTGAATCATGACCTAACAGTCGTTATCGAGAATCTGAGACTCACATTACGATGTATTATGTTGTTAGCCGATTCTGAAAGCTTACTCAATCCGAATTTGATTCAATAGCTGCGCTGTTTCGTGAATAAAACCATTAAATACGAAAAAACTGATTGCGCTCAAAGAAAGAATCTCGTCATATTTCGGTGTCTTGATCTCACTGATATAAACGAAACTAAAAGGAAAAACTATAAACAACGAGGTTTGTTCTCTGGTCTGTAAAGTTTGTTAGATATAAATTCCATCAGACTAAGGTGTGAATTAGAAGTCAGTTATTTAAAAAGTTTCACGTTGGATGCTTTTTTGACTTCATTAAGCTCTTAGAGGGTGCATTTGTAAAGTTTCAAATTTATGAAATCCAGCTCTTTAAACGACTTCCTCAAGTTTGAGCCGCATTTTAGAGTTTATACATGCATTAGATGAGAAGATCGACACAGATTTTACCTGGGCCCGTTTTTCTTTGAAACGTTGCTCTGTTACTGGGTCAAACTTGCTTCAACCATGGTAGGAAATCAACCAACGTGTTGAATGACGTCAGATTGTTTTAGAGAAGCGCTTTAAAAATCTGCTTAAGAAACGTTGCTCCATGATTTTTTATTCAAATCTCCAACCTCTTTTCAACGATATGCTACCCTTTAAAAAATTTCAGTTGAAAATTAAGCTTATAGGAAATTAAAAGCCGTACTTTTGCATGATTTCATCACACATTGATGTTAGTTTTGGCCATGAGATTTAAAAACTACTGATAGCAGATCGGCTACTGACCAAGCTGTATCCAAGAAATGGTATCACCTATATAAAAGGTTTATGTCAAGATCTTTACTAGTGGCTTTAAACAGACTTGAAAACCTTACTTATGCAATAGAGTTTAAAGCGGTCCATATTTTAGAAAATTCCAAATACAATGTCAGATAAAATGTCTTTTTTTTAAGTAGAAAAAATATACCAGATATTATGATATAATAACTGATCAAACATCATACTTACCAAATATTTGGTCTTGAACACATTGCTATTAATGATGAAACATGATCTTAGTTAGATTCTGAAAACAAAATGGGTGAACTACATCGGAAAAAGAGAAATGTTCAAAATATTTATATCACATTACAAAATCAAAAACTGTCAAGAATCGTGACGTTAACTACTTTCTTTCGCTATGTATTAGCGTCCAGAGAATCACCCACGTCAATAACTTTTGTGTAATTTTTTATCTATTGTCCAGAAGTCACCTTCCCAAGGGGGAAACCAACGCCCAAGCTCATCTGTACGATTTCTGAGATAATAAGTCGATGAAGGGTGTTTTTGAAATGGTAGTTTGCTTTCTTTGTTATCATAAACGCTTCAGAAACTGAAATTCAGTCGAGTAGAGACATGATGTCCCGTTTGCTTTCGGGAGGACATTCTGAAGAGCTCTATAAATTGGTGATTACTTTAGTTATTCTCATGACCTTGATGTTTGATTCAGGGGTGATTCTGTAAGGAGAAATGAGATGCTAATCACTCTTAGGCTGTTTGGGGTCCAGGGCTGTTCTTAGTCACAAAATATTTAGGTAATCGTGTAACTTGAGTGCTCGCGTGAGACTGGACCTGAAATATGAGGTTTCCGGTGAAAGTGATTGACGTTTCTACAGCTCGAGCAGAAGTCATCACCTGAGTAAACCCTTGACCCTGACGAGGAATTCCTGTTAATGTTCCACACACCAGTGGTCACCAGTCACTCGGCTCTAACATTTTTAGAGACTACTGACGCTATGTGGCGAACATTTAGAAAGATTGTTAAAATATCTAACAGGAGTAAGACCATTAATTAGTCTATTCGTCATTTCTGATCATTTCATTGATTATTTTTAAATTCGTCATCGCACTTCGTTCAAGTTTTCCTAACACCTCCCCTGTAAGTAAACACAGTGACACCCGTGTAGCGCGATTGTCTCACGTGAAAGACGCTTCCCCCCCACCTCCCAATGCTAAGTAGTATCAATGCGATCACATCAAATAATCAAACTGAATTCCGCGCGGCCGCCTTTAAAAGTTGTCAAGATAAGATGATAAGGGTCCAATACATATTCATGCCTAAGAACATTAACTTTATTGCTATTATTATAATTTCGGAGGGCATTGAAAAAATAAGAACTGAAAAAATGACTACAAAACAGTGTAAACAATCACAGATGCGTGCGAGGGGGCTAAAATACCAAAATCGCTATTTTAGCCCGCAAAATGCGCCGCGATGCACGAAAAAGTGATAATAATTTCTGGTCAAACAAAATTTCCAGTAGGCGATTCTTCGCTTTCATCACAACTAAGGGGCCGACCATTTAACTCTTGAGGGGGGGTGGGTGATTAAGAAAAAAAATTTCCTGCAAGCGCTTGTTGGAAGAAAAAAATTGCATGCAGCCCAAATGTAACAGAAGAAAAAAGGCATTTCGAACGAAAAAAATATCCTGCACAGCAGATTGCAAGAAAAAAATTTCTTGATGACCAGAAATCACCCACCTCCCCTCAAAAGTTAAATGGTCGGCCCCTAATTGTCTCTTTTATTGCCTTTGAAGGAGGTGTCAGATGTGTCCAATCTTCGCCCTACACGTAACTTTAGATAATTGTCATTTTGCGAGTTACAGACGGATACTTTCTTTTCCCTTTACGCTTCGCGCTTATGAACCTTCACCGATTCTCTACCACCGTCTGTGGGGCTCAATGGTGTCGGAGACAGTTTCTAGTCGTTCAACGGCTTTAAATGACTCTACTAACTATGGACTGACACACATCGTAAGCAGAATCAACCAATCTGCAATGGTGAGCACGTTTTAATAAAGCAGCAACTATTTATTTAAAATATGAAAATATAAGCTTCCATAAATTTTGATTTCGTGTTTATGCAAATTTACTCCAACCTCGTGTCAGCGACGCTTTCTTTTCACGTGAAAATTTCTCACCTCATTTACACTGTAGGGTTCCACGTGGTCTGAACTGCTTCGCTTTCTAGGTAGGAAGACTCACGAAAAGTCGTCTGGGTGTCAAGTCGGAAAGTCGTCTAGGTATCAAGTATAAGTTCTAAACGCAGCCAGGAACATTGAAGAGCTGTTTGTGTTTGATCATGAGGACCGCACATGGGCTGACAGCTAAAGGAGAAGTTGTTTAGCTCTACAAATAAGGTAACAATGAACTTCAGTTCAGACTGTTCAGGTTGTTGTATTGCACGCTGAATGAAGTTGGGTGAATTATAAATTTACCGTGGAAGTGTTTTGGACTGACTTTCGATAAGTTGACCAACAACGCTCAGAATCCATGAGGAAAGTTCGCCTAAATCCAAACATTAAAATTTTTTTAAATAGTCGCATAATGTGTGTATGTGGCTGCTATCTCCAGTGAATTCGTCGTTGGAGGACACTCTAAATTTGCAGAGGTAGCGTATCGGACCGGCTCTCCATATGCTAAACCATACTCCAACTCAATAAAAGACAGTTTCAAGGGTTAATTTTTACTAGAAATATTTATCAGACTGCCAAAGTCCAGACGAGGCTTGATGAAGATGGAAATGTTTCGCTTGGCCGTAGTTTCAAACGGAAGTAAAAGTTGTAAAATCGAATGGGAACAGTTCTTGCTTTGAAAACATTGTTTTGGAAATATCTTTGAAATGTATGTGGCTCAAAGGCAGGAAACTCGAGATCTGTTGAAGTAGAGGAGTTTGAATGGTTAAACGATGAAGAAATCAACTGAATTCCTAGCCTGCAGTCCCGGCGTATTTTGGGCGCACGAGTGCACATTTTCGTATTAGGCCGCCATCTTAGATTTGGTAACTGTGGAGGATTGGGGCGAGGAAATCCTCAATCCCCAATCCCTCCACAGTTACCAAATCTAAGATGGCGGCTTAATACGAAAATGTGCACTCGTTCGCCCAAAATACGCCGGCACTGCAGGCTACTGAATTCCATACACAGTCGCTGAACACGAGAGGTAATAGTGTTGTAATTTTTTTTCCCTTTTAGATGAATTACTATGAAGGAAAAATTCGACGGTGGAGTAACAGTGAATGGGCAGAAAACGGAAGCAAAGAATTACTCCATCAAGGTGAGCTACACATTTTATTCAAAATAGTCCTATAATGTGTACATGTGGCTGCTATCTCCAGGGCGATGTGTTGATACATTTGCAAAAAATCTGTGTTGATCAACTGGCTTGGTAACACGTTCTGTTGTGTGGGTCGGATAAAATATTCCAAAGAAATTTTAAACGAGAGGAGCACAAAAATAGGTCAGAGGGGTGTCGACTGGACCAGTCCGGGAGCATTAGAATTTTAGTCTCAGGAAATCGATTTTTAAGAGGTGTTTCAAAATTCACGCAGAGTAGCAGAGGCTTTCTTAACCATAACTAGAATAATTTGTTTTTCGAGAGAGAGTCTTAGCACAAAAATGACATTTGATATTTAAATGAATAGTGATTCATCAATCCCACTCGAATCATTTATTGGCTTAAAAAGAAAAAGAGAAAGATAACAAAAATCGATTTATAGCCATTTCTAGTTATCGTTAAGAATCTACAGAAGACTCGTGTAATTTTTAGCACTGGAAAAGTGACATTCAAGGGAAAAGAATGCAAGAATATTTTTATTGGCATAAAGTGACATTTTGATTTGAAACTACGTCATCAATAAAGAATGACTGGAATGTGACGAACTCTTCCTCACGTATCGGATAACAAATGGTAATAAATCAGTTTTTTTTCTTAAGCTGCGAACCAACTTTTTCGTCGTATGTTCGGTAAAAATGTTTTTCGTAAGATTTTAGCCGCGAGATAAAGTTTGTAAAATATATGATATGTCTAAGACAGGCAGCGGCGATGGATCGTTAGTCGTTGTTTCAAAACTACGAGCAAGTTGTCTTTTTCTTTCTTCCGCTTTTTTTTTCTTTTCGTGTTCACAAAAGGTAACTTATTTGCAAGGGATTCGGGTGATTTAATTTATTACCTTTCAAAATTTAAAATGCACAAGTTATGTTGAAAAAAATTGCAAATTATCTTCGACAAGAAAAGTTAAAAAATCTTTACACAGAAATATCGAGGATCCGTTACCAGGACCCATTTGTAAAAGTGCTCTCTTGTAGGAGGATCATAAGAAAGTATGACACAATGAGCTTTCTATGATCAATTATCACCTCTGGTGTCAAGAACATGTGACAAATGAACCACAAAGCAAGAGGGCTTGTGTTCAATGTTACTCGTTACAAATTTTGTCACGTCAACTGTGCTGAATTATGCTCAATACCACATTATTCATTGCAAATAAAAATACATTTTCAGGAATTTTGGTGAACATGAAATAGTTTTTGGAAAGTTTATTCAGCCAGAGGATGTTGCCGTGGTGGTAACTGAGTTCTCGAACTTACTTCGAAACAATGTCTACAAAATGCTAAGGAGAATAAAGGCACTGATGTTCAGTTAACGTGGAACTTTAATGAATCATTCCCATTGCTGTAAAGATAGAGAATTTACACAGAGAGAAGTTAAACATTTGGAGCAAACATTCTATAACTGAACTACTCGTAAACTCTTAGATACAAGTGGAATGGCAAAATTTACGTTCGCAATTATTTTATTATTCTGTAAGAGTCCATTTTTGGTATATTTTAACAGATTCGTCTGTTTTCTCTTGCAGTTCCCCCATAAACTCTTTTTGATGAGGATTACAAGTAATCGAGAGATATAGAAAAATCGAATTGAAGAAAGCCTAACCATTCAAATGGAAACTAACCTCAGAGGTAGCAACTTATAGCCAAGCGTGAACAAAGCGTCAAAATAACAAAGCTCTCAAACTTAGACTCGATAGGATGTATTTGTCAACAAGCGTTTCGTAATTTGTTTGTTTTTCCTGCCAGAAGTGTTTCGAGTTTTAAAAGCTGATTTTGTCAATTATTAGCAAACAATCTGTCGAAAAAAACATTTTTTTTTAAATTTTTTCTCATCAAAGTTGGATCAAGTCGTTCAGAGCCACAATTTGACTGATCGTTAGGGAATTACTTGTAGTTGACTAGACTTAGATGCTGTTTACGCATTTATTTCGTAAATCTGCTTTTTTCTTGCCAGAATTATCTCTAGTGATCCGACTTAGTTAAAAAAAATATTTACCAGTTTAGCTTAAAATGTACTTTGCTCAGTTATTTTCTGATAGACTTAGCAGTATTTGTGTTATGCTTGTTCTAGCTGTTGTAAACTTGTATTAAGCAAATAAACTTTTCATCAAATAATACCTTTATTAGTCTTTATTGTCTCTCGTAAAGCATATATATGAA